TTTAGCCGTTTTCCGGCTAGATTTAGCCGGTTGCGATTGAAAACAGCCGGAGAAATTTCGATTTAGCCGGCAGCCGATTTGTTAGCCGTTTTGCAGAAAAAAATTAGCCGTTTTTAGCCGATGTTGCTATTTGCCTTGTTTTCTTAAATTTCAAATATGTATATATGTTTCCATTTTTGACTAAGCGACTCAAAATCTGTTAGAGATGGCCACTACCCTTATCGTGGTGAAAATTTTCATGTCAGGCAGGCTTGTACGAAATTGGGCCGATTTCGCTTATTTTTATTTTAAACGAAGAACGGATTTTNCGAAATTGGACCGATTTCGCTTATTTTTATTTTAAACGAAGAACGGATTTTCTTCATAAAATGTGTCTTATAAATGTCTTAATTTTAAGTGTGAAGTTTTATTCGCAAACTTAGAAAATAAGAAATTGTTTCACTGTTAAGACACTTAAGATGCGTTTGTGTTTGGATATANCATCAGAATTGAAGGGATTTCTGAAAAATCTGACCAGTTCTTTTGTGTAACTGTGATTTTGCATCCCTTGTCAACATATGGCCTCAGTTGATGTTAACTTAAGGTCGTTGGTTTACTGCCTTAAAATTGAAGGGAAAATTTTACATCGTTTTTTGTGTGTATTGGTTTCTATTTGAGTATATTGAGAATCGGTCAGTCTGAGAATTATCACTCAAAATATCAGATAGTAAGAAAAAATGCTCCCAAATTCTCTCTCATGTAGAGAAACTTGCAATTTTCTGTACGAACGCAAATTTGCAAGTTTTTTTGCCAGCTAGTGTCCACGGTTGCATTTCAAACAAAAGAAATTTGTATAGATTTTTAAAATTCTTTCAGAGGGGCGAAAAACAGGATCTAAGTGTATATATCTTGTCAGTCCGACTTTCTTCAACATACGTTTCAATTTCTTTGTCGGGTTCACTATATCGACTCTGGTTGAGATTGCATTCCGTTTAAGAATACATTTTTTTGCCGAATACCTTTCAAATCATTGGAATTAACTAAATTAATTAAGTAAACAAGAATTATCTTACATTTTTCATTTTAAAATTGCTCCAGTTTGTAAATTTTTAAATTTAACGAACTTGTTTATTCAAATTATCGTCGACAAAAAATTCAACCATGTGCCACAATCATATGTTTTTCCTAATTGCAAATTCTTGCTGGCAAAATTTTTTCCGGCTCGAATTTGTAACTTCTCTCCAAGAAATGGTCTTAGTCATGTGAAATTTAGTTGAAACATTTTAGCCGTTTTTAGCCGGTTTTATTTGCCAATTTAGCCGGTTCGTCCAAAAGGTTCTGGCAACACTGGTTACGAGACCTTTAGGTGTTTAGATGAATACCAATAAGTAGAGATGGATTTCTATCCAGCAAACGCAGAGTAAATACCCTTCGTGAGTAAAAACGGGGTATTTACCCAAATAAAAATCCAAATCGATATGCACAAATATTTTTAACGTTGTTTCCTGCCATTTCTTGTGTAGTTTTTGCAGACAAGCTCACTTCACGTTGCTTGTAACGTTAATGTTTATTATAAAATATTATATTTTCTATATTATTTGATGAAAGGATGAAAATATCTGGTATACCAATACATTTGGCTGCTAGTTTCCTTCACTCCGATAGTCAAGGGTAAGATTTAAACCCATCGGATTATCTAATTGCGATTCAGTTAATTTATGATATGGGTACCAATTTGAATATGTGTAAATGTAATGATGGACCTAACAAACTGTAAAGCTAGAGAGGATTTGCGGGCTACAAATTTTGTGTGGAGCATCATAGAAGAAATATATCTTCCCACATGGTAGAAAAGCATCCACAGAATTGAGCAAGATGGCGGTTCGTTTATTTACTGTTCCATGCACTGTAGCTGACACTGAATGCTCATNTTGGTTCGTTTATTTACTGTTCCATGCACTGTAGCTGACACTGAATGCTCATTGAGCACTCAAAGTTTCATCCAATCAAAAAAAACGAAACAGATTAAGTGGCGGAAAAGTATGTTTTACAGCACATAATCGGAATTTCTGCAATAAAGAAATACGACGAAACGATACTTCCCTAAAAATTGTACCACCTTTTCAGATGCCCAGACATTGAAAAATATAATTATTTATCTTCACTTTTGTTTGTTTTTATTAACATTTCTTAACAAAACTTTAACTCAAGCCTGGAAGGTCACAGCCTATGTGGAAACATTCGACGAAACATGACTTTCCTGGGCTAAAGGCACAGAAGCAACTATATAAACACATCTGAGAATTTTTCCCAAACATCATGTTTTAAACAAGTTTTTTGTAAATGTTTTAATTTACATGTTTTGAACATGTTTAAACATTGTTTTAAAGACTTTTAATAATTCAATACTTTTGAAAATAATGGTAGGTAGAAATCATATCCATCGAAGAACTCATAAAATATCTATCAGAAATTAATCAGCCCTATTCTGCATTTCGACTCGAATCGAAATTTTCTCCGTTTGGCAACTTTGGTATTCTGCGTTTCGTTTCGTTTCGATCAATGTTCGAATTTTTCGATTCTAGCTATTCTACATTTCGATCGTAGTTACGTTTTTGTAAGTTGCAAATTTTTTGAGGGGAACCTTTCAATTGTTATTTTCGTGGGTTTAAATAATAAAATTTTACAGAAAAATGGAAGTGAAAATTACTGTGGATGATTGTAAAAATCATTATAAGTGAATTTTCTTAATTTTTGTGTTTTCGCGATTTTTTTGTGATGTTTATAACTCCCAAACAACAACACCAGGGCAATATGAGAAACATATTTCTATATATGTATATTATATATACACCGCTGTGGTATAGTGGTAAGCACTGCGCGCTTCCACTCCGCAGCGCCTGGGTTCAAGCCCTGGTCAAAGCAACATCGCAAAAAATTTAGAAATAAGGTTTTTTCTTAACAGCGGTTGCCCCTTGGCAGGCAATGGCAAACCTCCGAGTGTATTTCTGACATGAAAAACAGCTTCTCATTAAAATACAATCGCCGTTCGGAGTCGGAGTAAAACTGTAGGTCCCTCAAGTCGCACGCCACAAATCGGAGGAGAAGCTCGGCCAAACTCTAACATATGTGTTGAGTGCCGATCTATTATTATTATTTATCTATATTCATATATATATATATAACATCACTAGACACGAATAAAAGCGCGAGCTCAAAAGTTGACGGCGAAAAAAGACATATAAAAAAACTTCAACGTCAAAGACTCTTAGCATACTTCGCCGAAGTTTTTCATAAGCAAAATTTTCGTAAAATTTTTTTACGCGCCTTTTTTCGCCGTTAAAACACTAGCTCGCCTTTATTCGTGTGTAGTGACGATATATATTTATTCTAGCTAGTATATATATTTAAAGTTCTGGAGTGCCGCATGATGTAATTGCTTTGTTGGGTACCTTCACTTCGACCGATATGGAGTCAATAGCCAGGGCTCCAAAGGATACCCCGCATCGCCTGTTAATAAAAGGGATCATTGTTCACAATTGTACACACGACTTTCACAAGTAAATAAAAGCCTAACAACCAGGTGTTTCTTTCACCTTCCCGATATCGCCGTTCCATATAAAACCGCAGCTTACTCAAACCCCATATATGCAGGTCGTGATTGCATGCGGGATATCTCATTTATTATTATTATTATTATAAAGAAAATTAGTACAATAAGATCCCAAAGATCTTTTTTTAGTACAACGGTAACTTAAAATTAAGACAAGAATAAGAGTTGAGAATAAAAAGTCCATAGTACATCATGTCAAACAAAGCCTGACAAATAGCATTAGGCAAAACTTACAAATCTATATAAAACCAAGAGAGGAAGAAAAAAATAAAAAAATAAATAAATAAATATAAAAAAAGTCAATAAATAAATAAAAATTAAAAAGAGAAAGAACGACATATAATTTTCAATTAGCCTATATCTAAAAACATACACATTTACAATTTATATAGATAGCGAACCTCAGCTGATAATGAGTTAATAAGTTAACGAAAATACGAGTACAAAACACTCCTAAAGTTGCTTTTATTTAGACTGTTGCGAATATGTCCTGGAACCGAGTTCCAGGTGCGAATAGCATTGACGAAAAATAGTCTTGCAGATGCTAGTAATTGTACCTAGGTATAATCAGGTCAGTAAGGCGTGAAGACTTTGAGAAGGATAATTTTTCGTATAGATATCTAGGATCTTTATCCATCATTAGGCGAAATAAAAACAATACAATTTCTTGCTTTTAGCTATTCAGAGATACTGCAGCCCAACAGTCGTGATTTCCAATCGGATATTCGCTAAAATTTCGATAGCCCAAAAACATATCGAGTAACATGATTGAATACTACATCAATTTTATGGGAAGATTGAGAATCTAGGCTGCTGTAGACTAGCTCAGAATAGCAGATAATTGGCAATATTAATTGAATGGCCAGTTTACGTCTAACGATTAATGGTGTAAAAGTTGCAGACATTCTTAAATTTCTTAAAGTATAATAGACTTTGCCTACGACAGAGTTACCATGATCAGTGCATGTTAGGTTAGTATTTATAACAAAACCAAGATTAGTCACTTTAGAAACAAATTTAAGAGACTTATCACCAATGTACAAGGACGGAATAATATGAAATTTAATATTTCTTTTACATACAGGCAACACAATTTATCACAGTTGAGACAAAGACCATTTTTCGAAGACCAAGACGATATAGACATTAATTCTCTATTGAAATTCGCGCACAAGTTAGCCATGTCTTCAAAAGTTCCTGACAAATAAATCTGTATATCGTCCGCGTAAGCATGCATTTTTGCATATTGGCAAGTACTGAAGATGTCATTAATAAACAAACTAAATAGCAATGGCCCTAAAATAGAGCCTTGGGGTACACCCGTTAATAGTGGTTTCAGTTTAGATACTTCAGCACCAACTTTTACTCTTTGGGTTCGGTCGGACAGATAGCTTTTCATTANCGCGTCAATGTTTCTTACACGCATTTTGTTATCGCACACCTGAAAATAGAAATTAAATTTGCGAAACCAATTAAATCAAATCACGACACTGATGTAATTGAAATAATGCTCACCACCATAGCGGTAATGCTAAAAAATCCTTTTCTGTTGTAATAAAGAAAATCTTCTTCATGTGGCTTGATTATTCTTATGTGCGTGCCATCAACACACATGATGACCCCAGAGGAGCCAGCCTTCGCATAAAACTACTGTTTTGCTTGTATTTTTTCCTGTTCAGTCTTCTCAAATTTTATCCATTCAGGACAAAGCTTTCGTTGCATCTCTTCAAGAAATTTGGACAGTGACTTTGACATGGTTGCCTGACCCATTCCGACATTATAGTCTGCACCGTGTTGGTAACTGCCTTCCGCAAAAAATCTTATCGCGGCCACTATTTGGTTAAGCTGTGATACAGACGTTAAGGTATTTCGCTGAGTTTCTCTTTCAAAAGTATCCAAAACATACTTGAAAGCATCCTTGTTAAGTCGAAAGTTCTTTTTGAATCTAAAAGTGTTAACCAATTTTATTAAGCTTAGCACTTTACACATGCATTTCTTACAATTCTTCGCTCAATTGGAACGGATCACACATATCTTTTAATCTCCGCCTTTCCACTTTCACCTCAGCATTCCGGGATGTGTTGTCCTCCTCTTCAAGCAATAATGCCGCGGCTATGGATTCCATGATTATGTTTCCACTTAATTTAAGAAGTAACGAAATTTTATTTTAAAATTACAATAATGTAAGATATAATTAGGTTTTTTAATATATCTACAAATTTTAACTTCTGAAGCTGCTATAATTTGGTGCCAAGTATTTCTTTGTTTTGTTTCGATATCACACATTCCTAGGCAAACAACTGATTTCGGAAGATGTTTTCTCTCTTCCTCTTCTTCTTTCGATTCGATCGTAACGCAGAATACCTAAGTTCGATTCTAGCGGAGCGGAATGCGGGAACGTAATCGAAATGCAGAATAGGGCTGAATAATAATCCTTACCATTAAAATGAACGTTTTAAAAATAAAAAAGTAGTATTGTGTATTATTAAGATTGTGCTAGTACTCACAGTACCATCTTGAAATATTACTTATTTGGGAAACCCCGAGTTCATAGTTGCCGTTGCAAGTGTCTACAATTTAACTTAAATGTATTCAGCCATCAGCCTTATTATGAGTTTCATTTTCTCCGAACCGTTTCACTTTTCGTTTCCGTGCTTTCAATACAGGCGGATGAAAAAAATCGGATGATAAGGGGCATTATGTTGCAAATAAAACTCTTGAAAAGTACAAAAACTATTAATTATATGATTGATGTTTTTTATATATATTTGAAACGAGTTTAAAACAAAATGTTTTAAAACGTGTTTTAAGTATAGGTGATTATTTTTCCATTGTTTTAAACAAGGTTTTAAACACTTGTTTTAAATATTTCCAACCCTGTTTAGTGTGCAATTTTTTTCAGAAAGTACAGATAACTACGTCTAAGCGAAAATGCAATAATTATTTCAATGAAGCTGATTTTAAGATATTTTGATGATTTCGTCACTTCAACCTTGTTGAATATGCCTTGTCTTATTCTATACCCATGACTAATTAATCGTTAAACTGTTATTTAAAAATTAATTATTAAAAGGGAAAATGGCTTAAGTTGTTGTATCAAAATGATATAGATTTATTTAACTCTTTTATATGTGTTTGTTTTTGTTATTTTATGGCCTTACAAAATTATATTCAACAATTTTATTGAGCTTGAGGCCATTTTTAATGAAAAAACTACTTTTTAAGATAAATCAACGTACCCATTTCATTACATACATATGTACATATACATTAGACTGCATCACTCCCCATACAAAAAAAAAAAATCGGTACTGTGTTTCCTTGGGAATTATAAAATCTATCTATGAGTTTAATTTTCCCCGGACCGGTTCACTTTTCACTTTTGGTTTCCATGGTTTTACTATGGGCGGATGACAAATTTTCGGGTGAATTTTTTTTCAGGCGAAACTCAGGGCATTTAAAAAAAACTTTAAGAAACTATTTTTATTCAAAAAAACTCTATTTTTGGAGGTTTTTTCAAATCGGTCCAGCTCACGTAATTCTTAATATTTTTCCGAAATATATTAGTGGACTCCTTCAAATATAATAAATTTTGTAATCCCTGCAGAAAAACCGCAACTTTTTTTGGTGATGCCGTCTAATATACATACTATATTTATTCTCATTTAACTATTTACTAACCGCGTTCTCTGAAGTTTAAACCCTGCTCATTTGAGGCTACTAATCTTGATTTATTTTCTTTGCAAATAAATAAAATTGAATGCGAATATATATTTCATGCTTGGAATGTACAAATCGCCGTTTAAAGTACAAAACCGCGTATCGTCGTTCTCCAAAACCGCGTAACTGACATTTTTTGTTAAAAATTGGATTTGCTCACACAAGCTCTTAGCTCAAACCTTATTCATTTGTCCTGAAATATACTAGCCAGAAATGAGATTGCTTTATAAAAAAGAGAACCATTTTAAAATATGAGTGTTTTACTGTCTAGAAAATAGTTTATACAACCTCACATACGCGGTTTCGCATTATCTTGATACGCGGTTTTGCATTTTGTTGATACGTGGTTTTGTTCTTTAAGCGACGATATGTATATGAAGACGACATACTGAATAATAAATTTACAAATATACACACTTTACAGATACAATGTACTTCCATATGTACGGATGGTAATTTTAAAATGTTTTTAATAAAACTTTTAGCATTAAAAATATACATACATATACCGCCCACTTGCGGTTTTTATCGGGTCATTTATTAAACCAAAAAATATCTAATTAATGGAGGCATACACTTTAGAGTTTACATCTACATTCTTCAACAATTTATTAACTAAAAAATTTTAACTTTCGATATTATTACCAGGGACGTGAACCGGTTTTGAACCGAACCGGTTTTAAACCGGAAAACCGCTTTTTTCTATTAATTAACTGAATCGTTAATCGGGCTGAAATTTTCCACAAACTTTTGATCCGAACCGAAAACCACTATCCATAAAGGTTCGTTTCAACCAATTTTCAATAGATAAATGTACTCACTTTTTTNTGTTAATCGGGCTGAAATTTTCCACAAACTTTTGATCCGAACCGAAAACCACTATCCATAAGGGTTCGTTTCAACCAATTTTCAATAGATAAATGTACTCACTTTTTTTTCTTTTTGTTAAACATGATAATACCTACCACGTTTGTTTACCATGTGACAATATATAATGTAAAGGCAACCGATCTCATTTGACAGACACTTGACCCTTAACCTTGAGCGTTGTTCTACTTGACACTGGACACTTAACTTGCGCATTATTTTTTTTTTGTTTTTCGAACCGTTAAACCGAACCGAAACCCCAGTTCAAAGACCAAAAAAACCGCTTTGACGAACCAATCCAAAAGTGCAAAAGCGGTTCGAACCGCTGAACCGAACCGACCAAATGTTTCATCTGGTTCACGTCCCTGATTATTACTGCTCGCAGTTACAAGTACATATATTAGAGGAGACCGTGGGAGATCGACCTTCGCCGATCTGATAACTCGATGAGACATATTTTTTATCAAATATAATTTATAAACAAATATGCCTATGATAACTTGCCTATCGAAAAGTGTTCATAGCTATTTTTAATTTAATAAATTTTAATAAATATTCTTTCATCACCTTCACTCTTGTGATAACCGAATGAGTTTTATCTCAATTGATAGTTTTTAACACACAGAATATGCCTAGGTAGGCTTGCCTACTTATTTCTGTGCATGGCTACTTGGCAAGTAGATGTGAACAGGTAAGTCAATATAGGTAACTACAGCGATCTGTTAACCAATCTAAATTGATATCATAGGTAAGATATTTTAATTACAAAACCAATCATATAGGCTTGCCTGCAAAAAATCGTACATAAAATATTATTGCCAAGCTATAAAGTTTTAGAATTTTAGCTATTTGATAGGTGCGAGAGAGAAAGTAGAGCGTCCGAGGTCCGTGTGATAGAACAGGAAACAACATAGCAGCTGCACGCTACCTGACCGTTGAATGTACCCGAGAGCGCAGCTGGTGTACATATCAGTGACAGCATCTATTTACACTTGACAGCAATTTTGAACTCTAATTTCGATCACAATTATTGTATTATTTCACACTATATATACTTACAACTATGAAATAATCAAAAATAAATAATTTAATATATTAATAAATAAAACAAATTAATTCAACAAATTTTTTTTTGTTTTGAAGCTAAATTATAAAATTCAAAAATTATAAACAAAATATATATTCTTTATTTAAAATTAAGTAAAGAATAATTTATTTATTATTTAAAATTAAATAAATGCCGTAAAGCGGGAAAGAATAAGTGTTACTTTTAAAATTTTATTATAATAAATAAAAAAGTCATCAATATAGAAAAATAAAATTTAACACATTTATGTTGTTAAAAGCGTTTACTACAAAGCATACAAAATCAGGAACTGTAACGGTTAAAACTTTTATTATAAAAATCACTTTTTAATCGTTATTAACTGAGTTTTATTTTTTGCTCAAAAAATAATCGTTACGTTTTAAGTTTTATTTTTTGCTCGGAAAATAATCGTTACGTTTTAGGTTTTATTTTTTGCTCGGAAAATAATCATTATTTCTTGAGTTCTATTTTTTGCTCAGAAAATAAAAATTAATTTTTACGTATGCGTATGCGCATGCGTGAATAGACAGGGGGCGGCTGCATTGAACTTTTGACGTCACCGCGGAGTGGGTAATGAAAATATAGAGAGCAAGAAACAAGGGCAGCTACAAAACCACGGACACTAACAACCTATATTGAAGCTGAAGAACAGGACAAAGTTTAAGGTAAATAAAAAGACAAGGATAAAGATAATGATGAAGATGAAGATGAAAAAAAATTAAACTCAAGAAATAACGATTATTTTCCGAGCAAAAAATAAAACTTAAAACGAAACGATTATTTTCCGAGCAAAAAATAAAACTTAAAACGTAACCATTATTTTCTGAACAAAAAATTAAACTTAAAACATAACCATTATTTTCCGAGCAAAAAATAAAACTTACAACGTATCGATTATTTTTCGTGCAAAAAATAAAACTTAAAGAGTGAAAATCTCTCAAGTGGGCTACCCAAAATTGGGTGGTCTAGATTTTTTCAAACAAATAACTTTATTCGATTTACAACCATAAAAAAAATATATAATTTGAACAGTTTTGCAAAATTCGAATTTTTACAAGGGCTACTGTTATTAACTTTTTTTTTGATGAATTTAGTAATTATTTATTATCCACTGATTCATAGGATGTAGCTTGCTGATTTTTTGCATGAAAATATTGATAATCAAACACGCTTTAGCCTGATTGTTTCGATTTTTCAAAAAATCATTATTTTGTACAAAATTTTTAATTTTTATAAAAAATTTGTATAAACAAATGGAAATATTTATTACTTCTCGATCAGATATTTTAATCGTTTACATTAAATATCAATCCTTATTCTATAATACATTATTAAAAAAAAAACACGGAAACCTGCATGCAGTCAAAAGTTATAAATTTTTTTCGCTCCTACCACGGATGCTTTTGCTTTCATGCCTCGTGCCGCGCGGACTCGCAGCGAGCGTGGTGCAACCAGAGAACGGAAAAAAATAAAATTTATTTATATACAAAGCATAGATTATCTAATACAATATTTTTTAAAGTTGTATACATAAATATGTACATACATAACATGCATATTTATATATGTATTTATGTATGTATATGCATGTATTTTGTCTTTACAGAG